AACAACAACAACAACAATCTAAACTTTCACCCAAATCACAATAAAAAGTTGTTGTGTTTGTTCTAAAAAAAGGAAAAAGAAATACAACTCTATTAATATCTCAGGTATTCTGTGAAGACTATTCGAAAAGCACAATTGTTCCTGCTTTATGAACTTCCTTTTAGTTTTAGCTTGAATAATCATTTCAGGGTAAAAACTTTCACTTTGGGAACTGGGTGTATGGCTTAGAAACTCAATTTCAATCACTTGGGGATGCATCTGAAGACACTCAAAGACAATATGCTAAGGACCAATCAGAAAAACTGATCATTACCACCTGCATCAGTAAAATGTAGAATCAAATTATTCTCAATGGTCTTAAAAAACTGCAGGAAATATCAGCAAGAATCAAAACTTAGAAAGTAAATAAACAGACATTGCCCAGACTAAGCCAGTATAATAAAAATTCAGGAATAATCACTGAATGTTATCCGTCTGAAATGTGATCTTCTAATGTTTAATACAACTTGTTGGTAATAATGTTTAACTGTGGCATAGTGCCTAAGGCATATGACTGCTAACCAGAAGGCTGGCAGTTCAAACACACCACTACTCCTTGGAAGGAAGATTGGGCAATCCACTTCCGTAGAGATACTGCCTGGGAAACCCAAGGAGAGGTCGCTATGAGTCAGATCCAACTCCATGGCAGTGAGTTTATTTGGTTTGGTACCTTAATTGTTTTCCAGAATTGTATTAGAGCGATAAAACAAAGACTTGATAGCTTTTTGGCAGGTCAAATATTTTATGCTACTTTACTAATGGTAAGGTGTATATTGTAAGCAATAACAACAAACCTACAGATTCAAGTTGATTAACTTTCAAACAAATGTTTGATAAAAAGAGAAGTATATGTCCTTAGTTATCATATACTTACCACATTGTGCACAAATTGGTAACTTCTGTACAGAATTACAAAAATAGCAAAATGCTCTATTCTTCTGCCGTCTTGTCATGTTAAAAAAAAAAAAAAAGTCAGTATCAGATAAAAATTCAGAGGGCTTATTTTATTATAACATGTAGATAGAAAAAAAAAAAATACCTCTGACACTTGTCACATTCCTGTAAAATACAAAGGTATAACATTAATTTTTCTACTGCCTGAAGACTGAAAATCTACTTGCATTATAAAAAAATATACTGTTTTTTTTCATGGTAATATGTAAGTGATACCTCCCCAAACCTCCAATTCCACCCAGGTATGCAAGCATCAACATATACTTAAGTCATCGCTGACTGGCCATTTCCCAAATATGTCACGTACTCTCTCTACTCGATGCCTTTACTTATTGTAATATATTTTCCTGAAAAGCACCTCATCACTATCCCTACCTGTTGGAAGTTCTGGCAATGATCCCACCTCCTCTGTGAACCGCACTCCCATACACACTCAGTAAATTCAACTTTACCAACCCTTCCAAAGCAAACCAAATTCACTGACATCAAGTTGATTCTGACTCATAGCAACCACCACAGGGTTTCCAAGGCTATGAATCTTTACAGAAGCAGACTGCCTCATCTTTCTCCTGTGGAGCAGATGGTAGATTCAAGCTTCAGACCCTTTGATAAGCAGCTAAATGCCTTAACCACTATACCACCAGAGCTCCTTTTATCAACCCTTCCATCTAATAAATACACTGTACCTTTACTGTATCACTTAATACACTATACCTTTGTTGTTAACACTTACCAAAGTCTAGCTCCCATTATATGTATTTATTTATGTGAGTCTCTCATTTATTGCTCTGTCTCCCTAACATCCCTTCTCTAAAAATGGCCCTGATGCACAGAAGCCTCCCCCCATTGCTTCACCTGAGCTATGCAATCCTACCTCTACCTCCTACTACCCCATTTCCTCCTGAAAATGTTAGTTCTGGAATGGGTACCTGCCTGAGCCCAAACTATCAAGAGTTCTTGCCCTCTATGAGGGCAACAATATGCAATGGGAAATATGCAGCTACCAGAGGCTATGAACTAAACAAACGGAGAAAGACTATCTAAGAAAATGGAACTAGTAAGGAAAAAGAAACAAAAGCAAGAAACAGAACTGCAAGTTGTCCGTGGGTGCAAGCTATAGCCTTGCCTTTCCCAAGTGAATAATTCACTTCATTATCCATTTAATACCTCTATTTTTTCCGTAAGGGAGCTCTGGTGGCATAGTGCTTAAGGCATCTGACTGCTAACCAGAAGGCTGGCAGTTCAAACACACCAGCCACTCCTCACAAGGAAGAATGGGCAATCTTCTTCTGTAGAGATACCACCTCGGAAACCCAAGAAGGGGTTGCTACGAGTCAAATCAACCAGACAGTGGTGAATTTGGTTTTTTGGATTTTTTTTCCCCATAAGGCTATTTGAATTGGATTTGTTAGGTATGAAAAAGCAAGTCCCGACTAATATACAAAACCTAAGAACTTAAGAAGGCAGGATCTGTGTCTTCATCTATGTATCCCCCACAGTGCCCGGGATAGTATCTGGCACAGAGCAGATACACAATAAACATGTGCTAAATTAAGTCACCTTAAACTTTTCATATTTTTTTCAATGAAACAAAGAAAAGAAATTTAAAATGGTGAGAACAAAAAAAGTAAAGGGATAGAATTAGAGAAATATGGATACCTCAGAAAAACAGAGTCAAAAAATGGAAGAGGTAATGACAACAATAATTTTTTTGCTTTTTCACAAGTCTGACCATTCAAAGGAACTCAATTATCAGGACTAACCCACTCAGCACAGGGAGAAAAGATGGTTGAGTAGGAAGTTAAAAGAGATGTCAAGAGATGTAGAAAGTTCAGAAAAAGAAATCACATGAATTGAAAATTGCTAATAGAAAATACCAGAAAGCCTCCAACTAATAGGATAAATCAAGTGAGAAAAGCTGGAAAAACTCTGCACAGTTTCTATTTATGTTTCTTATTCAATATCTATTTATTACCAATCTGAGGTAATATGCTAGATTTTATAAGTAATACCAAATGTAACAAAAATCACTGCTGCTAATTCTTAGTGAAAACGGGCAAGCCTCTAAAACAGGTTTCACAGGCAATAATAAACTATATACAGTTATACTATAGTTGCTAATATTTTATTCATATGTATTTCAGATAACTACTACATAGTTTCTCAACTATCAGCTAATATAAAATAAAAGCTGTTACCATTGAAGCATTACATGGGTGTTTAGCTAAATCTATGGTGCTTCTTGATGCTCGGAGCTGTTTTTCACGTTCCCGACGGTTCTCAGCTTTCTTCCTTGCACCAGTCTTCTTTTTAGGCATTTTCTTGTCTTTCTATGAAAAAGAACAGAAAAAATATAGTTGCCTAGTTACATTTACTATTTTAAATGAACTAAAATATAATATAAAAAATTTTCTTGTTTTTATTAGGTTTTCAGTTCAACCCTGTCAATTCGACAGGTAAGTACGTTTTAAATTTTCATGAAGCATTAAGCACACATTATCCCAAATAAAGTTGATGAGTTTTAAAATGAGGCACTTTAAATTTAGATTACCAACCAATTCTAAAAGATGTATAAACCAAAATCATTTATCTTAAAAGTCAAAATAATTATTTTGGTTTTGTTTTTCCTCCCAACTGAGAAAAATAAATCTCTTTAAGTATTTTTTAGAATTCAACCAAGTTAAAGAAAAATCTTTATTAAGAATACATCATTAACGAGAAATAATTAAAAAGTCCACTACTTAACTAGTTTACATCACTTTTTTGAGCTATTCAGATGCAACCAAGTTTGAAGCATATATAACAAGTCTAATTTTGCCTATGCAATATCTAAATAAAATATTCAATGTTGTTGTTGTTATGTGCCCTCGAGTCTGAACTGACTCATAGCAACCACTCCTTGGGTTTCCTAGGCAGTATCACTACGGAAGTAGATTGCCCCATCTTCCTTCCCAGGAGTGGCTAGTGGGTTTGAACCGCCAGCCTTCTGGTTAGCAGTCAAGTGCCTTAGGTACTATGCTATCAGAGCTCCCACTAGAGCTCCTAGCAGACCCTATAGAACATAGTAGAACTGCTCAGATGGTTTGGTTTCTCCAAGGCTGTAAATTTTTACAGAAGCAGATTGCCTCATCTTTGTCCCTGGAGCAACATCTCAGAACCACTGACTTTTTGTTAGCAGCCAAATATTTTAGCCATTTAGAAAACAAGGTTTTTACTAAATGACACATTTTTATATGGCTTTTCATCCACTCTAAAACCTCCAAGTTCCCTGAAGATCCCAGTGCTATCACTCTTAATATTTACATCCCAGCCATGCCTGGCAGATTAAGCAGTCATGAAAAAATATACATGAATGAGTGAGTCTACATGCTTGCCTTGAAACATGAAATCGCAAAATTTTTAATATGCATGTCTTTTTAAATTGAGTCTCAAAAATCAACAGTAGAAATTCCTAAAAATATACATTTAGATGGCTAGGCCCTACCCAAGATCTACAAATTCTCAAACTCCAAGATGAGGCACAACTCTACAATACAGAACATACTTAGTCAAAGAAACCAAAGACCTCCCTGACGCATAGGACAGATGCCAGCAAAGCAAACTTAGAATGAGGATTTCTCATTCAGAACGGCATATTACATCAATATCATGCATCACCTTGTACCTGAAACAATACTCAGAAGGCTGAATTGATTGTTTCTCTACTTTCTGGGTTCCGACCCTTATGTTACACTGTCCAATCGAAAACTTAAGAGGTAGGCAGGCTGGTGGCAGATCAAAAATACAGACAGACCAGGCAAGGAGAGCATGTGCCAGTTACTAAAATCACAAGATACTTAAATAACCAGTAACTTAAAATGACAAAATCTACAAAATGATGAAACTGTATAATGCCCTAAGCAAACTCAGTAAAGAACCACTGGATGATGATCCGGACGAGACGTAAACACCAAGAGATGTCTTGTGAATCCACGAGAATGCTGAGCCTCAACTTATTTTCTCCAATTTGTTTTGGAAACTTTCTCAGCCTGGTAAGGGTTAAGACCTTCTTCAGTAACGCCCCAATTTCCTCTGGATTTGTCCCGTGAAATGGGCACAGGGTCACTACGGCTTTAGAAGAAAAGTCTGGATTCGCTAGACCAAGCAGGGTAAAGGGGATCCAGAAGGGACACAGAGGAGGCGCCACGCGGCTAGGGGAACCGGCACCCGTCACGCGCCCGCGGGACACCCTACCTCGCGCGCGCTCTCGGCAGATTTCGCTCACCCTCGCGGGACGGCCGAGATCACTCCAGGTGCCGAGGGGTAGTGAACCGTGTAGGATCGGCCTGCAGTAGCAGTAAGCCGAGGCAGTGGTCCCGGACTCTGGGATAAAAGTCACTAAGAATCCCAGAAGTCTAACAGAGAAGGTTGAGGACACTTGGAGAAGGACCGGATGTCCTCTTACGTCAGCGACGTCCTTAACGTATGGCGTCTACAAAAAGGGCCCTCCCACCTTTGATAGCCCCGCCCCTGTCCCGCCCACTCCTGCGGAAGGCGGGGCTCTCGGCCCTGGGAAGGGGATCTGCAAGAGAAAAAGGAAATAGGGAATCAAAGAAGAAAAGGGGATGCAGCCGTCCAAAAGGAGAAATCTAAGACGAAAAGAAAAACATAAAAAAGAGGAAATGGCCCCACACACTTGGTCCTGGATCAGCTGACTACAATAACTCTTTACATTTTTGGCTGAATTCTTTTGTAAACCTTTCAGCTACCTGCATTTTCCAGTGCCTCATATCCCATTTTTCTTCTTGCTGTACAAACTGTGCCTTCAAATGCCTAGTAAAGTTCTATACTGTCCTCCTCTGTGCCCCACGGAATTCCATTCAATTATGAACTTCCACAGTGTGTTCCATCTGTTTTTAATGGAAATTTGAGTATTGTAATGACTTGATTTAAATTTCTCTTCAGTGAACATTGCTTTTTTTTCCTCACATTTTCTTTTTCTGAAAGTCAGTAAGACTTGTAAACAAGTAAACACTTGTTTCCCAGTGTTGCATCCAGATCATTATTCCTTTATATCTAGCCATAAAGATCTCTGGTAGAGTAGTGCCTAAGGCATTTGGCTGCTAACCAGAAGGCTGGTGGTTCAAACACTCTTCAGAAGGGAGATGGGGTAATCTACTTCTGTAAAGATTTACTGCCTCAGAAGTCTAATGGGGGTTTCTATGAGTCAGAATCTACTCAATGGCAGTGAGTTTAGTTTTATATCTAGCCATGCCAACTTTTGTCCTTCATTGTTGCTATTTTATATTCACTTTTACTAATGGAACCTGACTTCCAACTTCTGCCATCATCCTAAATCACATTAACATCCCAATGAAAAACCTAACCTCCTGGGTCCTTGATTTCTTCATATTCAGCAGCCATCCCCACCCCTACTCCACAGACCCCCACTGTCATAAACACATCCCCAGCCTTGCCATGAAATTGAACTGTGCTACCACTGAAATCCAAAATTCAAACATCTGACTATCCAACCTCCTATCTTGCCAACTGTCTCACTCAGTTGTTCCTCATAATGGGACTTCAAATCCCTTGATGTCTCTATGTTCTATCAATCATCCCTCTGCTTTCTTCTCTCCTTTTTTTCATCCTACTTTATAAAACAGAGTTCATCACTTCAACCGCAATGCTCTCTTTCTGATCAAACAAACCATAAAATTCTCAATCCTTTAAATTATGCAACTTACCTTTTCCTTCATACATTGGACTTCTGAATATTGTTAAAGGCAAAAAAAAAAAAAAAAAAATCACACAATCATGATTCCACTCTAAATCTATGGTGACCAACATGGCTTTCAACAAGATTCTCAAAATTGCCCTTCAGTTCTTCTCTATTATCCTAATCAACGCTATCATTCTCATTCTCCACAATGGCTATGTCAAATATTCTCCACTTCCTCAATCCTTTCTCTATCAATTTCAACAGATATCATCACTTCTTATTTTACAGAGAAAATAGAATAATATAATTAACAGCTAACAAACATATAGCACTTTAGGTTCCTAACATTGTCAGCACTTTACATATGCACATCTATGCTTCATTTATTGATTATCTTATTATGTGATGTTTCAAATTTAAGACAATAGTCTATTACCTAACTGTTAGGCACATTAACAACATACATCTGGTGATAAAAAATGCCAGGGTGCAAGTCAAGACTAGTACTGGTTGTCATGGTTATGGTTATGGGTCAACTTGACTGGGCCATGATTATCAATGTTGTTTTTGTTGTTAAGTGCCATCCAGTCGTTTCGGACTCATAGCGACCCCATGCACAGCAGAACAAAACACTGCTCGATCCCGCGCCAGCCCCACAACCCTTGCTATACTTGAGCCCATCATCACAGCCACCGT